GTCAAATAAATTTGTGTTAACCATTGGGTCTGTAGCTTTCGAAAGTTACCTTTGTTAGGTTCATATCCAAACTTTAGGCAGGTTGTGTGTATCCTTTGATTGGCTGAACAGGGAAGCCTTTCGAATCTCAACTAGGGAAGATTTGCATTCCTGCAATCGAAGGGGAGAACTGGGAACTTTAAACACTCAGAAACAAGTTTACCTTGTAGCCATTTGAAGTTGTCTCATGTACGGATGAACCATACCACCCCAATGGTATAAACAACGCACGCATAAAGTTTTTATGTGTAGGGACCCCAGTTCAAACCTTGGCAGGACGAAAAACAGTTTTTACCTTTTTGATTGTGTTCTTTGTATTTTTTAACAAACTTCAAATATTTTTCAACCAATCAAAACAACTCCTTTTGATTTTATTTATTACACACTATTTATTTCCAAGTTTTATTTCATGAATATATAAAAATATTACAAAAAATATTTTATTTTCATAATTACTTTAATTAATGAAAACCTTTCATATAAATAAAAGTCAAAACAAAGTTTACCTTCTTTTCATTCCAATTTTGTACATTTATTCATATTCGATATGGTTGTAATAGATAATTAGAATTTTATTTCTTGCAACCCCCATTTGTACATTTGTATCCATATCCCCAAGTGATGTAATAGCGTAGTAAATTTACTTTCCACAATTTATCGCTTTCATATAAATGCTAGTAATTAGGGTGTGCATGACAAGATTAAAACCAATGCTTAGAAAACCCTAAATTCAAGACAAAAATGCATACAATCAAACACACTTGTACACATGCACCTCTAGGGTTAAATCCACTTGTTGCCTTGAGAAAATGGTCATAATATGCATGTGAGACATTTTAGCAAAAACAATCAAAAGATCATAGTCCCTCGACGACGCTTTGAATGTTGCCTTACAAATGATCTTAGTCCCTCAAGAGAAATGCTAAGGTATCTCAAAACATTGATATGCATGACTATACAAACGTCCCACACCCGTCCATTCACATCCAACAATTGGGCTTCTTAAAAAATCAATGTTAAGATAACAACATCTAAAGGAGGAGGAAAAGAACATTAGACCTTTTGAGTAGGTAGGGCACTTATAGTTGCTTGCTTGCTCACAACAAAAACATTTTTACACCAACACTTTCAAATTGAAACATTTTCAAAAGACAAAGCTCCTTGTACGCATTCTTATAGAGACGAGAATCATTACAAAGACACTTTTCAAAATCACTTTCAAAAACACCTTCCATAAACACCTCTTTGAACTACTTTCAAAACCAACACTTTATACATGTTCTTATAGAAACGATAATCATTACAAATACGTTTTCAAAATACTTTCAAAACTCACACCACAAGCACATTTTCAAAAAAAAAAAGCAAGTGATTTAGCAAGAAACTAAGAGCCCACAGATAACTACCGATTGAAAGGGTGATAATACCTTCCCTTTTCATAACCTACCCCCCGAACACAAGCAATAATCTCGAAGGTCTTTCCTGTTCTTTTCATCCTTTCCTTATTGGATAAATGAAAAGTCGGTTGTGACTCTTGCTATCCGCAACAACTGTGATCAAATGCAAAACACCCAAGTCAGTTCTCCCAACGTATTACAGAAAGTGTTCGCTGAACTCTCCCAGAAGTAGAGGGCAGAAATCATCATATAGTTGCAATAACTAGGGTCAACCCTAGAAAGTTGAATCAAGTCAAAAATGTCTTCGGATTTCCAGACATTACATTTAACTTTCTCTACCTTATTTAACCATGCATTGTAATCCTGGTTGATATCAGGAGCGGAGTGAAAAACTTTTGAGGTCTTATAGATGTGGGAGATATCTAAAGAACACTTCTGGGCGATATGAGGCCTTGTGCTTCTATGAACAGGGAAGAACTTTTTCAGATATTTTGATGCCCTAATCTCATTAGGGGTAGGTCCCATGAGAGCATACGCGTTTCTGTTGCAGATAAATGGAAGCAACAGGTTAGAACGAAAAGTAGCAATGTTGCATGTTGGGTTTGGCTCCAACACCAAAGTTTGTGCATCAATAGAAAGGAAATCAGACATGGTGGAAACTATCTCAATTGTGTGAGGGGTGTAATGTGTTCAACAACTTGGCTTGGAGACGCCATAGAAGATGAATAAAAGCTTTGAATGAAAATGAAGGTGGGGTGTTTTTTGCTGAGTTTGGAAAATAAGATTTTAAGGATGCATAGAAAGCGTAATGAGGAAATGAAGGAATGAAAGGGGTATTTATACCACCAAAGAAACCAAACGTTTGGGAAGAAAGTGGGAAAAAACTATGTCTATACGACCGGTACGTGTCAAACATATGGAAACTGAGGTGAGGAAGTTGGTAAGTTGGAGGCCACGATTATCCTAGGAAGTTGGAGCTAGAAAGTAGGGAAGTGGTTGTGTGATCGTTGATGTAATGTTTGAAGAACAAGGTCATGATTACAATTACGTCACTTCACACTAAGAGAATATGATTAAAATGTTCGTTTCTGCTCTTTCAGTCGAAAAGGACATTTTGGGGGGCAATTTCTTGGCTAGGATTTTTTCGTAAAGAGAGAAATCCAAACCAAAGGTTCTTTTAAGAGTATTAAATTATGAGGAGTCGACTACATAAGCGTGTCGACCATGGATGATCTCACATGTAGCCAACCAAGGTTTCATAAGTGTCGTCAATCAGAGAAGGGTTTATGGTGAAAGGATTGGGCCCAAGAGAGGTAAGAAGCCCAAAAGGGTTAAAAGGCCCATAAGTGCCTAAACTGCAAAGTCGAAGCGTTATGGAGGAAAAACGTGGTTTTGATATCATGAGTGATGAACGTGGATTCATAAAGAGAAGTTACAATAGAGAACGTGGGTTCGACAACGAGAATGGAGAACATGGTTTCTTTGTTCTTGAAAATTTGATAGTTTATGAAAATTTTACAGTAAAATTCAAATGAAAACTTATCCCAAATAACTCATTGATTAATATATTCCCAAGAATTTAGAGTAATTAAGTTTTCGCATATTCAACCTATTAATTAAGAAATAAAAGCATTTCTCTATTATATTATCTTGTTTAAAATGTACCCGTGGTCTATCGACTGAATATGTCTTGTATCAAAGGTGAGGAAAAATCATTCCAATCTTCCTGTTTTATTTACTATCCATTACAGATTGCTTCTTCCTGTTATATTTACTATTCATTAGAGTAATAGTTATGTGATTTTTCATTGGCAAATAAATTTAATTATGTGATGTTTGTATTAGTTCTTTTGGGTATCATCAAATGGCAAATGGAAATAGAAAAAAGGCTACATGGCTTCATCCCAATGTAAGTGTGATGTAAATTTTAATTTTATAGTTAAATTTATGATAAATATTCACTAATCGTGTCATTCAATTGTAGACAAGACAACAACATAACTCTAATGATTGTGGGTATTATGTGATGAAAAATATGTTGGATATTGTCTCTGCCAATATAACCGAGAATTGGATGCAGGTAATAACAATAACTTTACTTTGTTATTTACTTTGTGTTTTGCAACTTATTTATATTAAATTTTAAAGAATAACTCTATTGTTATATTTATGTATTATAGGTATTTGATGACCCAACATAATTAACACAAGATGATTTGTATGATTTACGACTTCGTTGGTCAAAATGTTTCTTTGAGTTATATAAATATTAACCTTTATCTGGTGAGTTTTATAGAAAGATTAACCTTTATATGGTTTTTGCAAATGCATTGAGTTTCTTGATAATTTTTGCTGATGTTAATTATTATTATTTATTGTCAGGCAATGTGATTTTGGTGTTGTCTACAGAAGCTACAACTCATCTACTTATGAATTTTATATTGGTAATTCAAGTTTGTAAAAAGACTTGTAAAAGGTTGAATATTTTTGTATGTTTTGTGGTATTTGTAAAATTGATGTGAGTTTCTTTGTTGTGATACAATTCAAGTTTGCAATATAATTGTTCATTTTGTAAATTTTGTTGTGAAAATATCGACCTAGATATGGTCTATTTTATGTTGGAAAGCTATGATATATATAGCGACCTAAATGGTCTGTGTGATATTGGAAAAATATGAAAAAATTGGTAACAATTTTTTCTTACAGGGAATCATCCAGAAAATAAATGTTTTGTTCAAATTTTTTTTTTTACTTTTTACATCGGTCATTCTGTCAACCGATGTAAAAACCTTCAACGTGTGTTTTCTACATCGGGCACAGTGTAACAACCGATGTAAAAACCTCATCTATTACATCAGTCATGACTTCCACTGATGTAATATGTTGCGTCAGTTTTCAAAAAAAAATATTGTATTTATTTTTCACATCAGGTATATATTATAACCGATGTAAAAGGTGTCCTTTTCACATCGGACCCAGAACCGATGTAAAAGGTCTCTTATTTACTACTTCACCTGACTTTACATCGGACCAAGAATCGATGTAAAAGTTCAATTTTGCCCGATGTAAAAAGTCATTTCTGCACTAGTGATGAGAACTGCACAATACCATTGTATCACCATCCTTAGAAATATACAATGGCAAGAATGAAAAATGATAGTCTATTTGAAGATTATGATAACTTATTTTAAGAAATTTAATCCAAGACTTTTCAATCCCAAATTTCTTCATCTGCCATATAATAATATTAGTTCCCTTATAAGAATAACACAAGCAAAGGCATTCTTCTAAAACACCAATAGTTGGCTCTTCAGGTGGCAGCTCTATGGAAGGCAACTGATAGCAATTGTATGTCTCCATCCCTAGATCAAGGGAAATAATAACAAGGTCCTCAACAGTTATGTCCTTTACATAATAACTCCAATTGAACGAGATGTCCTTGTGAGTATCCAACTAGTCAAAAGTGGTACTTGAAACAACACAACCATATTCATATCCTTTATCTATGCGTCTTTCACGTAACTCCAAGCCAAGGGGAACAACAGGGAAATTTTCAATCTTTCTTCAAACATTATCACCAATAGTGAAAAATCTCACCTCGCTTGTATGTACATCACGAATGTAGTGTAACGCAACTACTTTAAATGTGCCCGCAGAATCATCCCATCCAAAATTGAAGACGAAACTATGTAACTCATGAAAATACCCAATTTTTTGAGATATTATTCTACTGGTTGGGTTCCATAATCGTAACCAGTACTCTTGATATTCACTAAACGTATTAGTGAAACTATGACCAACGAGACAAATCAATCCATTATAGGAACCAGCAATAGAGAATTCTTTATTGTCCAAAAGATAGTAAGAATCAACAACAAAAGTAGCTGACAGGTTTTCTAGTAAATGACTTATAGGATATGGAATCATACTCCAATCACTTCTAAAACTATAATCTCCCTCTAAAGGTTTTAGGTGATTAATGATTAATGTGAATTTTGGATTTGGTGATGTTGTTGATTTCTTGAGATGGAATTTCATAAAAGTAAGATCAGAAATGAGAATATTCCAAGAATTACTTACACACTTTAATCGAAGAAGAGGTTTAACAGGAAGTAATGTAATGATCTCAATGATGAGATCGTCAAGGAAGAACATCGCCATTAGATTCCTTGACATGGCTGATTTTGTATTCATAGGATCATAATTGATTCAGTACAAGAGTGACTTCTTCTTTGTAGTTCAAGTCATTATATATAACTTTAAAAGTCTTACACCAATTTTAATCGTTAACTGGATTGAATTAAACAGTCATATTAATTGAAATAAAAATATAAAACATATGACCATTTAATTAATTCCAATTAATGATTGAGATTTGGGGTAACACTTTTAGACTTACACCTGCTGTCAACAAATTTAGACTCTCTCTCTCTCTCACACTAGGCGTAAGTCTAAAAGTCTTAAACAAAATCTTCATCGTTAATAAGAATAAATTAAACGATCATATAAGTAACCTAAAATGGTCAACTATTTTTTATTTATTTTTCATTTCATTTAATATGACTGTTTGATTCCATGTTATGAACGATTGAGATTAGACGTAAATCTTGTAGACTTAAATCTGGTGTCAACGGACCTAGAGTCATGACCCCAAGGTGTCATGACACTAAATCCTATCCCTTTATTTTTATTAATCCAAAGATTAAAATAAATCCCCTTAAAAAATTCATTTGTTAGTTTTTAAGTGAATTGATCTCAACCTTTAGATTAACAATAGTAAACAGATAAAATTTGATGTCACAACACCATAGTGTCAATTGATCTTTTATATATATATATATATATATATATATATATATATATATATATATATATATATATATATATATATATATATATATATATATATATATATATATATATATATATATATATATATATACCGTGTGCTTTATGTTATTTAATTGTAAAATATGATTTTTATGTTTTTTTTCTACAATTAGGTCCTACATGTTAATTAATGTTTTCATCATTGCTCTTTTTCATAAACTCCGTTTTAAAATAGCTGATGTGTCACAAATGGTGTTGAAGTGTCATTTAAAAATATTGAATAAGTATTTCTTTTATTATTTCATTTATTTCTGGAGAAAAATAAGAGGTTAAATATAAATCCCCTACTCGGAACCCTAAATTTGATTTGGCCAATTAAGAGGAAAAATAGTATTGATCACAAACCAATTATATTTTCTTAAGCTAAACTTTGAGTTTAAATTTAAATTATGAACTCAAAATTAAATCAAATTTGATTTGGCAACATATGTGATGAATTATGGTAAATGAATGTGAAGTATTAACAGGATTCAAATTATTTTTTACTCAAATTATCTTGAAAATGAAATTGATGACAAAATGGAAATATAACAAAGTGAATTTTATTAAATCAATCAAAACTCAACTCACACTTAAGTTGATGATAAAAATCTAATGAAAAAAATAACTTAGTTGAAATAAAAAATATCTTTCCTTTCTTTCACCCTATATCTAATGTATCGCCATGATGATGAGTGTATCAATGAAAGGAAGCAATAAAATGTAAAATGTAAATGTAAAATATTTATATGAATAAAACAAATTGTTCACTTATCATCCTTATATTAACTTTATTTTAACTGGTGAATACATATGAGACCTAATGAAATGATCCTAATTTCATGATCGAAATGATTTCAATAAGTGTAGATGAATGCTAAAAAGATGAAATCTAAACCACCAGACCTAATGACATGAATAAAACAAAGAGAGGCGAAATTGAGGTATGACAGAAGGGTCCAGCGCCACATATCCTTGAGACATAACATGACCAAGGAACTTGACTGTCGACATCTAGAATTAATATTAACTAAGTTATGGGAAAAGTCGTCTTTCTTGCAAAACCGACAACAAAATCCTAAAATGACCGTCGTGCTCTTGTGGAGTACGGGAGTAAATCAGGATATCACATATGAAGATTACAAAGAACTTGTACGTGTATGGTTGGAACATCCGGTTCATGTAATCCATAAATATAGTAGGAGCTTTGGTTAATCTGAAAGGAATTACATGAAATTTGTAATTACCATGTCGAGTCCTAAATGCGGTCTTTAGTGTATCATAACTCTTCACTCAAATTTGATGGTACGTTGATCGTAAATCAATCTTCAGGAACACACAAGCTCCTTTCAATTGATCTAGGAGGTCATAAATCTGAGGCAAAGAATATTTATTCTTGATAGTTACTTTATTCAATTGATGGTAATCTTTTCACAAACACATCCCACCATCTTTCTTTTTCACTAACAAGATGAGAGCACCACAAAGAGATACACGGGAAAATTAAATCCTTATCTAGAAATTCTTCCAATTGAATCTTCAATTAACTTAACTCAACCAAGGATATTCGGTATGGTGTGATTGAAACAGGGAAAGTTCCCAAAACTAGACAAATGGAGAATTCCACTTCTATTTCAAGAGGTAAAGAAGTTATATCCTCTGGGAATACTTTAGGAAATTTACATACTACCGGAATCAAGTGCCTGGATTTCCACTTAGTGCATGCTTGTTATTGAACTGGATGTAAAAAGTCTATGTAGCTTGAGCTAATGTTTTTCAGTTTGTGAATGGATGTCCAGTGGGTAACATGATAATGGCATGAGCCTTAATTCCTTATTGTGAATTGATGTATGTATTAGGAACTGATGGTGAACCTGGTTGTTATGATAAATATTGATGCTTTGTGTGTTTTCTATGTCTGGCAGCTTGTATTCTAATGTGTGTCTTGCAAGATGGAAATTTCGTGAATTGATGTATTGATTTCAGCATGATACATTAGTCTCGTATTCTGATATGGTGTCTAGTGTTTATTTTTAACAGGTTTGGACATGATTTTTTTTAAATCAAATATATATAAGGGATTCTTGGCATGTTCTTTTGCATTGCTTCTTATTCTTATGTTCTGTAGTTTTTTTATTTATTTAAATGCTTGAAATGGTCTCTTTTGAGTTAAAAGTTACAATTTGCTCCATAAAGTCAAAGTTTAACTTTAGAGCCTCAGATTAAGTGGCACCCATCCACAATTGTTGCTTGGGTACCAACTTGATGTTTTATTTCTACTGTCAAATTGTAGTTGGTATTTTCAATTGAACTTAGATTGTATTTTCAATTGACCTCAAATGCATGGTATTTTATGTTGTGTATGGTTTCTTCTGTTATCCCTTACATTTTGGTAATTCATAATATGCAATTTGGTTACATTTTTTTGACCACTTCTGCTGGAATTATGGATCACGAAGAGGCTAGGAGAAAGAATGTTAGTGGTAAGGTCCTTGGTTTCTTCTACAGAGAATTTTGTGGTTTCAACCGGATTAATGGATGATCGTTGTTCCATAGTAATTCCAAGAGCTGTTTTTGTGTTGTGATTTTATTTGGGGAAACCTTGTTATTGAGTATAATTTATCTAATTTCTTCTATATATTTTTGATTGTACCATAATGTACTGTTATACTTGTTTTGATTGGCAAAGACATTTATTAAAAGTTTTGAGCATTAGAGTTGTTTGAATTAGTATGGTCCAATTAGTTGTTAATATTGTGTTGAGTATCAACTAGTTCTGAAATTAGATTACACTCAGAAAAGTTTCTTGTTTAAAATTCCACAATTTGAGTTAGCCTTGATTCCAATCGTCTAAATATAAAAATGCATTTAGAAGTTATCAAACATCTTTTACTGAGTAATGCGAAACATGTTTGGATGAATTGGAGGAATTAGTAGATGGATTACATGTAAAACAATAACCAAGTATTATCCCACTATGAGATGTCTGTTACATATAACTTTTGAAATAATTTTCTCTTCCATAGAAATTGTAAGGAGACAGGTAAATTTCGAGAAACATCTGTTTATTACAAGTTAGAAGCTTTACAATGAACAACTTGTGTTCCAATTTAAAATTTGTTACTAGTAAAACATCCTTGCAATTAAAATGAACAACTTGTGTTCTAGTTTAAAATTTGTTACTAGTAAAACATCTTCGCAATTGTAAGATTTTTCTATGACACATCAATCAATATTTTCAGAAATGGGTCTTATAAAACTATGTTGGCATTTCTGATCTATGTTTAGATTTTGTTTGGTATTGTCCTAACTAGTTTAAAAGTGTAGATTGATGGGGGCTAGAAAGGAGACATTCCCTTCTTATTTATTTCTTGAATGAAAAATGTGATTGAAACCACACGTGATACGTTGTTGTTTGTCCATTTGAAGTTGCGATAATTTTCTACACAAATCTTATAATCACAACTCAAATATGCTGGGATACATCACTTGGGGATTTTGTATTATTGGCACGTGAGATTCCATGGTGAACAAATTCTTGAAAGCAAAATTATTAGAATGTCACATGATTTTATGGGCAGAAATAATATCAATCTTCTCACACCGAAAGGTCAATTTGTTAGTTGCCATGATGTTAGGCTCATTGAATTGAAAGTATTTTGATATTCTCGGAAGTTGGAATTGATTTTGCTTTCTTTTTAAAAGGGATAGAAGGATTAAACTACATGGAAAAGATAATGCTCAAGCTCTTCTTGATTCTAGTGAGCCTCTACCTAGCAAGTTTTTACAGGTCACTTATCACTTTGTCTCTCATGATCAAATCTCGTTTGTTCTTTTTTTCATTTATCGTTTAATTTTCAAAATGAGATAGTTCTCCCACTTGCTGTTGTGAACAATGCTCCTTTGTTTAGGAATTTCAAAGTGTGTTTATATACTCATAATACTATGTTGTTTTATGCATGCAGTTCATCCAGAACAAAGACATCCTTTTAAATTTCACTTCCAATAATTATATTATTGTCCTAAAAAATTGTATATTTAGGTCTGGGACATAGAGAAGAAACTGTTGTCTTACATATATGTTGCTAAAGAAGAAATCACTAGTTTTACAATCATTAAACATAGCCTCTATATGTAAGTAATAACTCTAATTTGGAACAAGTTAATAAGAAACTAGGTTTTGAAAGACCTCCTAACGATATGAATATGTGTTGATAGGTATGTTGGAAATTTTAATGGTAATATCAGTTGTGAATTTCGACCACGATCCATGGCATGTGAATTACTTTTATGATTCCAATGGTGAGAGTGTCATACATCTTTTA